AAAAAAAAATAGGCAAGGTATGCTTGCGCACATAGTAAAATATCTTATTACAAGTTTTAACTAAGATTAATTATCACGATATTAACAAATAGGATTTTTATTGGCCAGGATAGACAATAACTGGGGGCATGGCACCCTGCCTCTGCCTACAGTGACCTCCACCAGTGGAGCTGGCACTTGGTACTTGGGGTGGCTGGCAGGAATTGAGACAGGATTGAAAACCCCAGTGGATGCGCGGGCGCGGGGTGGGCTTCAAGCCTGTTAATCCCAGCACTTTGGGACTGAGGGCCGATGACGGGCGGATCACGAGAGTCAGCGAGATTGGAGACCATCGCTAAGATGGTTGAACCGCCTTCTCTTACTAAAAATACAAAAAAAAAAAAAAAAAAAAAAAAACCTAGCTGGGGCGGAGGTGGGCAGGGCAGCTGGAGTCCCATGCTACTCGGCGGAGGCTAAAGCAGTGGGAGAATGGCCATATGAACCCGGGAGGCGGAGCTTGCAGTGACCGAGATCGCCGCTCACTGCACTCCCGCTACTGGGCGACAGAGCGAGACTCAGTCTCAAAAAAAAAAAAAAAAAAAAGAAAACCCCACAGGGATGTGTCCACTTCAGGGGGGAGGGAGGATACACAGCACCTGCCCCCAGCAGAGCTAAGGGCTGGCCCACGGAGGAGGGGCTATCCCTCCCAGCACCCCCACTGGGTGGAGTGCAGGGTTGGAGCCTGGGGCAGGGGTGGACCAGTAGAAAGGTTTGTCTCTGTGGGAGGGTGTGGCCATCCAGTGCTCTAGGAACAGGGAAGAAGTAAGTGTCTGAAACAGTCAGATGCCAGGGTGGCCCACATGAGGAGAGGCAGGTGTGTTGAAGGCAGGAGTCAAGAGGACCAGGGATTTGGGATCCCAGTGTCCCAAGGCCAGTCCCTCCCTCAGCTCCTTCTGTGTCTTGCTCTGGTATACTGAGGTGGTTCCATTAGCTCGCCCAGTTGGGGTCTATGAACACTTTTAAAAAATGGTCTCAGGCCAGGTGCGGTGGCTCACGCCTGTAATCCCAGCACTTTGGGAGGCCGAAGCGGGCAGATCACTTGAGGTCAGGAGTTTGAGACCCACCTGGCCAACACGGTAAAAACCTGTCGCTACTAAAAATGCAAAAAATTAGCTGGGTGTGGTGGCACATGAGTGGTATTCCAGCTACTTTGGAGGCTGAGGCAGGAGATTGCGGGAGGTGGAGGTTGCAGTGACCCGAGATTGCACCACTGCACCCCAGCCTGGGCAACAAGAGAGAACCTCTGCCTCAATTAAAAAAAAAAAAAAAAAAAAAGAAGAAAGAAAGAAAAGGTCTCAGGCCGGTGCAGTGGCGCATGCCTATAATCCCAGCACTTGAGGCCAGGAGTTCAAGATCAGTCCCAGCAACCTAGCAAGACCTTCATCTCTACAAAAAATAAAAAATTAGCCGGGCATGGTGGTACACGCCTGTAGTCCCAGCTACTTGGGAGGCTGAGGTGAGGTGGGAGAATCACTTGAGCCCAGGAGGCAGAGATTGCAGTGAGCTGAGATCACACCACTGCACTCCAGCCTGGGTAACAGAGCAAGACCCTGTCTAAAAAAAAAGGTCTCATGGCTCGCCTGGCAGTAGAGGCCACCTTGGCATGTGACAGTCTCAACTCACGCACCTGCACCTGTGCATCCACTTATCCACAAGGGCTTGAGTGCCTGCCCCGTGACAGGCCCCGTTCTGCAGAGCCACGCCACTCTGACACCCTTCCAGGTGCCCTCTCCACTCTCCAGCTATTCCTTGGCAGGGGGCTTGGCCCATTTCTCTGCCCTACTAAGGGTCTGTGGAGGGCTGAATAATGGCACCCCATCTAGGCCTGTTCCTGACTCCTGGAGCTTGCAAATGTGCCCTTACACGGTGCATTTGGCTCCTAGGGCTGCTGTAACTAAGTACCAGAAACAGGGGGCTTCAAACAACGCAAATGCATTCTCCCACCATCCTGGAGGCCAGGAGTCCAAGATCAACGTGTCGAAGGGGCCATGCTCTTCCCGAAGGCCCTGGGGGGATCCGTCTGCACCTGTCTCAGCTTCCAGTGGCCGGCAATGCCTGGTGTCCCCGTCTGTGGCCATTCCAATCTCTGACTTCCTCTTCACATGGCCGCCTTCCTGGTGCATCTGTGTCCAAATTGTCCTCTTCTTATGGCACTAATCTAGTGTGACATCATCTTAAATGTGATTACATCTGCAGAGACCCTAGTTCCAAATAAGGTCCCATTCTGAGGTCCCAGATGGACATGGACTTTTGGGAAATGCTATTCGACCCAGCGCTCATTCTAACAGGGCCTCTGCAGATGTGATTCTGCTAAGGGTGGTAACATGGGAAGAGCAGCCTGAATTCTCCTATGGGCCCCATGGAATCACAAGCATCCCTTGTAAGACGGAGGCCGGATGGTCAGCATCAGAGGAGAAGGTGCTGTGATGATGGAAGCTGAGTTTGGAGTGATGCACTCTGAGGATGGATGCAGGGGCCACTCGAGTCCAGGAGTACAGGCAGCCTCTAGAAGCTGGAAAAGACAAGAAGACAATTCTCCCGTGGAGGTTCCAGGGGGAACCAGCCCCGCCCACACCTTGACTTTAGCCCAGTGAGGCTGTTCTCAGACTTCTGACTTCCAGACCCGTAAGATGGAATACTTATGCTGTTCCCAGCTGCCAACCTTGCGGTCACTTGTTACCGCAGCCATGGGAAACCAGACAGATCCATGAAGGGCTGTGTCTGTGACAGGGCGTCGGCGGGGCTGCAGAACTGGGCTCCTGTGCCGCCCTTCCAAGGGGAACGGCCATGAATGACCCCGCAGGCAGCCGACTGTTTCCCTGCAGAGCACCCGGGCCCAGCAGGCAGCCGGCTCCCAGACCACACACGCTCCGCACAGTCCTGAGTCATCTGGCCTGAAGGTGCTTCCTTAGAGCCTCTTTACCGGAAATGGTCTGTGTTCGACCTGATTATTTTTCTAGGAATCGATGAACAGATGCAAAATTGGATAGCGGCCAGTTCCAGGCTGTGCATAGACTGGGAAGACCCGTGCAAGAGCCTCCGTGGGGCGTCACTGCATTCCCGCTGTCCCCGAGCACCCACGGCATCACCGCCACCATCAGGGGAGCCCGAAGTGCCTGCAGAAGCTCTGGCCAGGCCCAGGTGATGGACAGGAAGCCCAATCATCCTTAGCATCCCATGAACAAGTTCTTGCATTTTTAATCTCGGTGGGCCCCACTTGGGTATCTGAAAATGCAACTTCCTTATTTTCCCTAACAGGACAGTTGAGGGGTGGGGTGGTACTTAACCTTGACAACAGGACATCTCTTGGTTTCTTTCTTTCTTTTTTTTTTTGAGTTGGAGTCTCGCTCTGTTGCCCAGGCTGGAGTGCAGTGGTGCAATCTCAGCTCACTGCAACCTCCGCCTCTGGGGCTCAAGTGATTCTCCTGCCTCAGCCTCCCCAGTAGCTGGGATTACAGGTGTGTGCCACCACGCCCGGCTAACTTTTGTATTTTAAGTAGAGGCGGGGTTTCCCCATGTTGGCCAGGCTGGTTTCAAATCCCTGATGTCAAGCGATCTGCCTGCCTCAGACTCCCAAAGTACGGGGATTACAGGCCTGCACCACCATGCCCGGCTATTTTTTGTATTTTTAGTAGAGATGGGGTTTCACCATGTTGGCCAGGCTGGTTTCAAACTCCTGACCTCAAGTGATCCGCCTGCCTCTGCCTCCCAAAGTGCTGATTACAAGCGTGAGCCACCATGCCCAGCCTCAGTCTCTCTATATCATCTCTGGTCATTTGCAGTGGTTTCTGCAGCAACTAGTCCACCCATGTGTACTCGGAGCTACTCAGGGCCGTCTCTCTTTCCCTCCTTCCTCTCCTCTCCCCCTAGGTGAATGGGAAGGAAGTTTAGGGTCTTCATGCTTTTGCAGAGAGGCAAATGGGGAGCCCACCCACCAATCTTTTTACATGACTGGAGCCGTGATTAATTTCCTGGGGTTGCCCTAAAAAAAAACCGCTGCAAACTGGGTGGCCAATAACAGAGACGTGTTCTCTCCCAGTTCTGGAGGCCAGAGGTCTGAAACCAAAGCGTCTGCAGAGCTGAGAGAGGGAAGATCCTTCCTGCCTCGTCCAGCTTCTAGGAGGCCCAGGTGTTCCTTGGCTTGTGGCTGCATCACTCCCATCGCTATCTCTGTCCTTGCATAGCCTTCTTCTCTTAAGGCCATTCATGGTTGCACTTAGGGCACACATGGTCATCCCAGATGGCTTCATCTCAAGACCTTCTGCTGATTACAGCAAAGATACTTTTTCTTTTTCTTTCTTTTTTTTTTGAGACAGAGTCTCACTCTGTCGCCAGGCTGGGGTGCAGTGGCACGATCTTGGCTCACTGCAACCTCTACCTCCCAGGTTCAAGTGATTCTCCTGCCTCAGCCTCCCGAGTAGCTGGGACTACAGGCATGCGCCACCACACCCAGCTAATTTTTGTATTTTCGGTATGTAGTACATACTGGCCATGTTGGCCAGTATGATCTTGATCTCTTGACCTTGTGGTCCACTCGCCTCAACCTCCCAAAGTGCTGGGATTGCAGGTGTGAGCCATCACACCCAGCCTATTTATTTATTTATTTATTTTATTTATTTATTTTTATTTATATTTATATTTTTTGAGATGGAGTCTCGCTCCATCACCCAGGCTGGAGTGCAGTGGTGTGATCTCGGGTCACTGCAACTTCCACCTCCTGGGTTCAAGTGATTCTTGTGCTTCAGCCTCGTGAGTAGCTGGGATTACATGTGTGCACCATCAAGTCCAGCTAACTTTTGTATTTTTAGTAGAGATGGGGTTTCACCATGTTGGCCAGGCTGATCTCGAACTCTTGACCTCATATGATCCACCTGTCTCAGCCTCTCAAAATGCTGGGATTACAGGCAGGAACCACCGCGCCCAGCCAGATTCTTTTTCCAAATAAGGTCACATTCACGGGTTCTGGGCATTAGGGCTTGGATATATCATTTTGGGGACCACCATTTAACTCCCTCCAGCAAGCTTGGACATACCAGGCCACACCGGCCCACAGGGCTTGGGGCACCGCCCAGGCTGGGGCTGCTCCACCGTGCACATGGGTTCTCCTCCATCTTGCACTGGATGGGGTTGCCTCTTAACACTTTCGCTGTCAGCCTCCTCCTTAATCCGCCTCCTCCCATGACTCCAGGGTCCTGACCAGGGCAGAAGCTCTTTTTCACCTGTGCCTTCACCTTGCTGGAGCTGGGAGGGAGGATTTTCCACCTTCTCATGTTTGGGGTGTTCCTTCCATGAGGCACTGGGTTTTACATCCCCTCTGGCGGATAAATAAGTTTGAAGATTCCGATAGCCTTTTTTGGTGGTTGGTGGGTTTTTAATTTTTCACTGACTTTTTATAAGAATGGGGCTTGTTTTTTTTTTTTTTTTTTTTTGAGATCTGAAGCCTCCGCTCTGTCACCCAGGGGCCTGGAGTGCGCAGTGACCGGATCTCGTCACTGCAACCCTCGCCTCCCGGGTTTACACCATTCTCCTGCTTCAGCCTCCCGAGTAAGCTGGTGAAATACAGGCACCCGCGAAGCCGCCGCTCCGGCTAGTTTGCATGTTTGTTTAGTAGAGATGAGGTTTCACCGTGTTAGCCAGGAGATGGTCTCAATCTCCTGACTCGTGATCCGCCTCTCAAAGTGCTGGACTAGCAGCTTGACGCCCGCGCGCATGCCGCCAAGAAGTGTGTAAAATTTTAAGTTCAGGGGTACATGCGCAGGTTTGCTACACAGGTAAACGTGTGTCATGAGGGTTTGCTGTACAGACTATTTCATCACTCAGGTATTAAGCCCAGTATCCATGAGTTCTGTTTCCTGATCCCCTCCCCGCTCCCACCCTCCACCCTCCGACAGGCCCCAGTGGGTGGTGTTCCCTTCTATGCGTCCATGTGTCCTCATCATTTAGCTCCCACTTATCATTGAGAATGTGCAGTATTTGGTTTTCAGTTCCTGTGTTAGTTTGCTGAGGACCACGGCCCTGACTCTTGATGCAAAAGGGGTGCAAAGGATGTGGGCAACCCCGTTCCCCTCTCCAGTCCTTCCCAGGGCTCTGGTCTCACTGAGAACTCTAAAAGTTAAACAAGATGCTTTTTTGCTGAGGTCCTGCTAAGCTTTCTTAGTCCCCCTGAGGCAGGTAGGGGCTCCAGCTGAGGAGGTAAAAGGTCAGCTAGCCGGAAATTCAAACTACAGAAAGACATCCCTGTGTTCTAAGAAATATGATCCCCCAACGTCCACTGACCTGAGCAATGTCACCAACAGGAGGCCTCAGAAGCATTTTTAACATGAACCTTATAGGGGGTGGGGTTTATACACAAGAACGTGTACCCATTTAAGTGGACAGCTGCATGAGAAACATGTCTACACCCGACCAACTACCACCATGAAACAGAATGTTCTCAACACGCCCACGCCCCACCCCAGTTAGTCTGCACCTTCCATCTGCGTCCCACCTCCCCCAGCAACCATGGATCTGCTTTCTGTTGCTTTGCTGTAGACTTGCTTGCCTGTTCTAGAATGTTCTGTAACTAGAAGCATATGGCATGGTCAAGGATTCTTGACTCCTCTCTTCCCCTCCTGCTCCCCTGAAACTGGTCCCGCACCCTGTCCACTTGACACAGGCAGAAGTCACATCAGTCCCTCCTTTCTCCTGCAGCCCATCTGCCATTTGGTTGGGGGCTCTGGACTCACCCTATGGGGAGGCACCATGGCCCAGTGGCCAGCTGCCCACCTCCCAGGTTTGGATTCCAGCCCACCATTTTCTCACTTGAGACACTGGGCATGTGGCTCAGGCTCTCCAGGGCTCAGTTTTCTTCATCTGGGGAATGGGGATGAGAACATCAACCTCTGCGCTTCAGGAGCAAACAACACTAAAAGTCAGCTGTTCTGGCTGGGCGCGGTGGCTCATGCCTGTAATCCTAGCACTCTGGGAGTCCAAGGCGGGCAGATCATCGGAGGTCAGGAGTTCAAAACCAGCCTGGCCAACATGGTGAAACCCCATCTCTACTAAAAATACAAAAATAGCCGGGTGTGGTGGTGTATGCCTGTAATCCCAGCTACTGGGGAGGCTGAGGCAGGAGAATCGCTTGAGCCCTGAAGGCGGAGGTTGCAGTGAGCTGAGGTCGCACCACTGCACTCCAGCCTGGGTGACAGAACGAGACTCTGTCTCAAAAAAAAAAAAGTCAGCATTTCCTGAGGGTGAGCACAATGAGCTCCCAGCTAGTCAAGTCTGACCAATGAGGAAAGATTTTTTAAATGAATGCAAATATATTTCTTTTTATGCTAAAATTAATAATGCCTATTTCACTAGGGTGCTGTGAGATTCAAGTTAGGCATGTAAAATGCCTGGCTTTTTTTTTTTTTTTAAAGAAAAACCTACACATGTTAATTATTTTCATTGTTCCTCTTCTCTGCAGTTTGCAGCCAGAATCATTATCTGAAAACCCAAGCCTGACCAGACACTTCCCTGCCCATTAATGACCTTGGTTAGCTTCATTACTGGTAACTTTCTGGGTTCATCTCTCTCTACTGCACCCAACTCCCTGCCCCATCCCCTCCCCACCCACCTGCAAGCACATGCACCCCTCTATGCATCAGCAGCACTAAGCTTTCTCCTGCTCTCTGAGCCCACAGGGACCTTTTGTGCCAACTGGGCCTTTGCGCATGCTCTCTCTCCACCTGGGAAGCCCCACCTTTCAAGAGCCAGCAATGATGTCACCTTCTCTGTGAAGGCATGTGGTTGGCAAGGTAGGCAGTTGCTTCTATCTTCCGTCTTCCTTAGCAACATCTTGCTGTCATGCAAATGGCTTTGCTCACCTGTTAAAATAAATGAGGTGAATTGAATGATCGGTCCCAGTTCTCCACTCTGCTGTCTGTTCTACAGCCCCATGGCCTTGGGGCTTACCTCGGCCTCATGGTGGGCAGAGAGGACTTCCCACCTCCTGACTTTGAGCTTAGCCATGTGACATGCTTTGACTGATGGGATTCTGTCATTGCCACAAGGAGAAAATGACCCAGGCAATCCACTGGTCACAGAAGAAAGTGTGGAGTAGAATTGGATCCATCCTGTGGCTTGAGCCCAGCATAGATCAGGTGACCCTACCCCACCCTCATTTCCCAGATGATTTGCAGACACAGCAAGAATAAAGCCACAGAGTTACAGGTGGTTTGTTACTCAGCATGACCATGGCAATAGCTAACTGTGACAATTGTTCCATCTCCACTTTTACTTAAGCATCTATAAACTGGAGACCATGTCCCACTCCCTGGATATCCCCAGTACCAGCACAAGGCTGACACTTGAAAAAGAAGGAAATTTCAGAGGTCCCTGTGAAATACTGATTGTTAACTTCAGCCAGCAGGGAAAGAGACAGAAACAGGAAATCCAAGCACTGGCAGGCCCTCCCAAAGACAGCTTAGGGGCCAAGATCATAGGCCTGGTAATTGGACAGCACAGGTTGGAATTCCAGCAACTTCGTTCACTTCACTGAGATGCCACTTCATCAGCCATGGAGGGGAGTTAAGAATCTTGTCGATCTCACAATGTTGTTGGGAAGATTCAATGAACAAATGTAGGCAAAGCCCTGTGTATAGTGCTTGGCACATTGTCAATTCCTCAAAGATACTCCATAAAATTGATACTGGAGAGACATGCAAAGTAACCCAAGAACTGTACTTAGCAATGACAAGAACTGGAAAGCATTCATTAATGAAAAGTATCCACTGGCAAGGGAAGTTTTGGAGCAGAATACACAGCTTTAGAGAGAGGGTTGAGCACGAGGATAAGGAAGGTGAAGACACCATTCCTGATGGAACGCTCACCTTCAGGGCCTTCCGTGACCTTCCATGACCTCATGTCTCCTACATTTCCAGGACTACCAAGTTTAGTCCTTTGATGATTCAAATCATAGAAACTACAATTGTGAGCTTAAGAAAAAAAATATGTAACTTCTAGTCTAGGTTTTATTCTGTTTCCTAATGGTAACCGAAGGTAAGTCCAAACATGCATTTTTTTAATTGATCTTTTCCTTAACCAGTCGTCTCATGATTGGCCTCATTATTTTAGAAAAATCATCTATTTTATGTATATCCCTAATGAAACTTCAACTTTTTAAATATCTGCAAGCAAATAATATAGATGAATTGGAACCAGACAGGCAATGCAACTAACCTAAAAGAAGACAAGAAAAGGGGGAGAAAGTAACAAAGGAGATAAGACAAACTGAAAAACAAATAGCATGATGGCAGGTTTTAACCCAACTATATTGATTTATATTAAATGTAAATGTTCTAAACATTCCAATATAATGTAAGGTGGTCAGATTTTATAAAAAAGCAAGGCCCAACGATATGCTGTCTACAAGAAACCAACTTTAACTACAAAGATATAAATACGTTAAACGTAAAGAGATGGAAAAATGTATACCATGCAACATGCTTATACTCACCAAATGAAACTGCAGTGGTAATATTAGTAGTAGACAAAGGAATATTTCCAAGGATGAAGATGGGTTTGTCATAATTACAAAAAGGCCAACTCATCAAGGACATATAAAATTCCTAAATGTATATATGCCAAATAACACAGCTTTACAGTATATAAAGAAAAAACTGATAGAACTTATAGGAGAAATAGGCAAATCCAAATGACAATTGGATATTTCAACACCCCTTTCTCACTAATTGATGAAATAAGAAGACAGAAAACCAGTAAGGTTATCGAAAGCTTAAACAAACTTACCAACTAACTGACCCAATTAATATTTATAGAATACTCCACCCAGTATTCTAGAATATACATTCTTTGCAAACGCATAAGATATTCACTTAGACCATAATCTGAACAAAAAACTGTATCTCAACAAATTTTAAAAGATCAAAATATTTTAGAATATTTTCTTGGCCAGGTGCAGTGGCTCATGCCTTAATCCCAACACTTTGGGAAGCCAAGGCTGGTGGGTCACCTGAGGTCAGGAGTTTGAGATCAGCCTGGCCAACATGGTGAAATCCCATCTCTACTAAAAATACAAAAATTAGCTGGGCATTCTGTCAGGTGCCTGTAATCCCAGCTACTAGGGAGGCTGAGGCAGGAGAATTGCTCACGCCTGGAATCCCAGCACTTTGGGAGGCTGGGGAGGGAGGATCACCTGAGGGTGGGTGTTTGAGACCAGCCTGGCCAACATGGTGAAACCCCATCTCTACTAAAAATACAAAAATTAGCCAGGCAGGGTGGTAGGCACCTGTAGTCCCAGATACTTGGGAGGCTGAGGCAGGAGAATCTCTTGAACCCAGGAGGCAGAGGTTGCAGTGAGCCAAGACCACACCGCTGCACTCCAGCCTGGACAACAGAGCAAGACTCTGTCTAAAAAATAATAATAATAATAAAAATAATTATATTATAACTCTAGGAGGATTCAGGAACTCTCTTAGCTAGCTTTGTAACTTTTCTGTAAAACCTAAAATTATTCCAGTTTTAAAAGTTTACAAAATCAGTCAACATAAGTCATGATATAAACAGACTAAAGAAGAGCCATGTAATCATTTCAATAGATTCAGCTTTTGACGAAATTGAGCATCCATTCATGAGATAAACTCACCACAAACTAGAGAGGGAAGGAAACTGCCTCAACCTAACAAAGGACATTTATAAAAAATCCACAGCTAACATCCTAATTGATGGTGAGAGACTGCACGCTCCCACCCATGTCTGGAGCAAGGTAAGGATGTCCACTTCACCACTACTACTCAATGCTGTAATGGAACCTCCAGCTAGTGTAATAGGCAAGCAAAAGAAATAAAAGGCATTCGGGTGGGAAAGAGAGAAGTAGGACTCTCCTTATTTGCAGGCAACATGAAAACCTGGATAGAAAATCTTGTGAAATCTACAGAAAAGCTCCTTGAACTAAGAAGTGAGTGTAGGCTGGGCATGGTGGCTCACATCTGTAATCCCAGCATTTTGGGAAGGCAAGGTGGGAGGACTGCTTGAGGCCAGGAGTTCGAGACTACACTGACCAACATAGCAAGACCCCATCTCTACTTTTTTAATTTAAAAATGTTTTAAAAAGTGAGTGTACTAAGCTTGCCAGATAAAAGATCAATACACAATAATCAATTGTGTTTCCATATGCCAAAAAATAACAATTGTAAAATAGGATTTTAACAATACCATTTACAATAGTATAAAAATATGAAATCCTTGGGCTCAAATCTGATGAATCAGTGTAAGACCTGTACACTGAAAACTACAAACATACCTGAATGAAAGGAAAGACCCAAATAAATGGATAAATACACTGTATTCAACAAGCCAGAATTTGAGGGTCTCCCCAAAGTGCAATCCCAATCAAAATCCCAGCAAGCTTTTTTTTTTTTTTTTGGTAGAAATTAAGTGAATTTTAAAATACATATGGAAACATGAAAAAATAAAAAACAGTTGAAACAACTTTGAAGAATGACTGAAGTTAGAAGATTTACAGTCCTCTTCAAAGTTGTTATAAAACTTAGTAAGTGACACAGTATGGTACTTGTATCGAGGTCAATAAATAGATCAATAATATAGAATGCTGGCCAGGCACGGTGGTTCACACCTGTAATCCCAGCACTGTGGGGGGCCAAGGCAGGCGGATCACCTGAGGTCAGGAGTTTGAGACCAGTCTGGCCAACATGGTGAAACCCCGTCTCTACTAAAAATACAAACATTATCTGGGCGTGGTGGCACAAGCCTGTAGTCCCAGCTACTCTGGAGGCTGAGGCAGAAGAATCGCATGAACCTGGGAGGCAGAGGTTGCAGTGAGCCATGATCGCACCACCGCACTCCAGCTGGGGCGACACAGCGAGGCTCCGTCTCAAAAAACAAAAAAGAAAGAAAGAGGCTGGGCACAGTGCACAGTGGCTCATGACTGTAATTCCAGCACTTTGGAAGGCCGAGGTGAGTGGATCACCTGAGGTCAGGAGTTCATGACCAGGCCGGCCAACATGGCAAAATGTCGTCTCTACTAAAAATACACACACACACACACACACACACACAAATTAGCTGGGCATGGTGGCGGGCACCTGTAATCCCAGCTATTTGGGAGGCTAAGGCAGGAGAATTTCTTGAACTTAGGAGGCAGATGTTGCAGTGAGCTGAGATCGCACCATTGCACTCCAGCCTGGGTGACGGATTAAGACTGTCTCAAAAACAAAACAAAACAAAAAGAATAGAGTCTAGAAATAGACTCACATGGTCAATTTTTTTGCAAGGGGCAGAGGCAAATTCAATGGGGACAGGAGAGTATTTTCAACATGTAGAAGAACGGATATCATTCATATGCAAAAAGTTACCTTCAGTCTCTACCTCCTCCCACGCAAAAGTTAACTCAGTCAAATCAGAGACCTAAAGTAAAGACTAACACTATAAAACTTCTAGTAGAAAACACAGAAGAACATTTGTGAGCCTGGGTTAGGCAAAGATTTCTTGAGTTTTTAATGGGTACAGAAATTGGCCATGTGTGGGGGCTCACACCTGCAATCCCAGCACTTTGGGAGGCCAAGGTGGGCAGATCACTTGAGGTCAGGAGTTCGAGACCAGCCTGGCCAACAAGGTGAAACCTCATCTCTACCAAAAATACAAAAATTAGCTGGGTGTGGTGGTGCACGCCTGTAATCCCAGCTACTCGGGAGGCTGAGGTGGGAGGATCACTTGAGCCTGGGAGATCAAGGCTGCAATGAGCCCTGATAGTGCCACTGCACTCCAGCCTGGGGGACAAGGCAAGACAACGTCTCCAATAAAAGAGTAAGCATGCCTGCACCTGCAGGGGTGAAGTGCTTCTGATGCATCACCGTGCCTGGATAGGGTCCCGGGGCTGCCCTGTGTGGCCGGTTTCTGAGATGAATCCTAGTGACAGGGAGTTGGGGAGTTTCCATCTCCTTTCCAGCACTAAGGAAGGGGTGGGAACTCGGACCTCTCTGAGTCAGTCTGGCTTCCCAAGACACAGACGAGGTCAGCTGAAGAGAAGGTTAGAAAGTTCCCATGAGTGACGCAATCCTGCTCCATCTTCAGAAGGAGTCAGCCTTGCGGAGCGGGAGAGATGGCAGCTGTCCACGCAGGAAGACGTCTGTGCCTTCCCAGAATTCCTAATCAAAACAGCACACTATAAATGTGCAGACTTTTCAAGGAAACCGTTCTTTAGTGACATTTCCCACCACGACGTCGCAGTCGTCTGAGACAGCACTAACTCAGCCTTTACGTGAGGTTTCCGTGAAGGGTGTCTGCTGGCACAGTGGCTGGATCTGTCACCGTGAGGAAGCGCTATCAAAACGGGCCCAGGTTGGAATCCTTGCTATGTGTCCCGGGGAGTCTGTTCCCACCTCCGGGACTCACTTCCTTCCTCTGCAAATGAGAATAGTAAACACTATCGGCCTCGCAGGGCCGCAGGGAGATAAAGGAGAGGTGGTAGGAAGCGCTTCCTAAATGCTAAGTGCTTAATGGTCAGTGTGCAAGCGTTTAATGCATAGGAGTTCTTGTTATTGTTATTATTAATATTAAATATTAATATTTAAAATACAGATTCTTGGTTGTGCGCGCTTCACCCAAACACTTTGACTCGCTGGATGAGTGGCGCCCAGTTGACCGAGAGCCCCAGTGCCCTCCAGCATTGTTCGGGCTGGCTGGGGTTCCACTCAGATCAGTGCGTGGTGCCCCAAGCGGCAGGAGTCCGGGAGTGACTCTCAGCTCTGCCCCCTTAACGCCTCCCTCTTCCTCCTGGCACCGCAGCTTCTCCACGTGTAACATGGCCGGGGGCGGCTCTGCATTTCCAACGGAGCGCGGCACTGACGCCAGCAAAACACGCAAAATGGAAAAGGAAGGTGAGGAGCACACATGTGCCCCGGAGAGCTGAGGCCTTGGAGGGGACTCCTATGACACTGTAAAGGAGGAAGCTCCTGTGTGCAGACCCGCTGCCTTCCCGGGTCTCTCTGATGTCAGGATGCGCTGAGCCCTGCAATGCTCTCAGCCACTGGCTCCCACACAGGTTAGTGTTATGAAAATAAAAGCTGTGGCCGTTTGGCTCCACAGAATGGATAAGCCCATCCCGTCCTGTCCTGCCCAGCCTGCATCTGCCACTGAATCCAAACAAAACCCTGAAGACAGTGTGGGAGCTGCCATGGAGGGCCTCTGGAGAGTACACGCAGCAGACAGATTGGGGAAGGCACCAGAACTCGGGCACCCCCCCGGCCTTCGGAGCTCCCAGGCTCCTCCCTCCCAGCCTACACCCCAAGGCAGCTGGAAACCTTCCCAAAGAGCATCTTCAGGCCCAGATATTTCCCTGGCAAATTCCACCAAACATCTAAAGAAGAAACAACCAAATCTACACAATGTCTCCCAGATAAGAAAAGAGAAGAGGATACTTCCCCATCCATCTTATGAGGACAGCATCACCCCATACCAAAACCACACAAAGACAGTCCAAGAAAAGAAATGCATACAGACCAACGTCCGTCAGGAACATAGACATGAAAATCTTCACCAATCTATTAGCTGGTTGTATTCAATAATATATATATTTGCTAGTATTTTGGTCATAGGCCATACAACCCCATGAGCAAGTGGGGTTTATTTAGGGAAGGCAAAGCTGGTGGAACCTTTTTAAAAAATCAATCAAAGTTGGGTGCAGTAGCTCACGCCTGTAATCCCAGCATTTTGGGAGGCTGATGTGGGAGGATCACTTGAGGTCAGGAGTTTGAGACCAGCCTGGGCAACACAGCAAGACCCCATCTCTACAAAAAAATTTTAAAAGTGAGCTTGGCATGCACCTGTAGTCCCAGGTACTTGGGGGGCTGAGGCTGGAGGATTCCTTGAGCCCAGGTGCTCGAGGCTGCAGTAAGTGGTGCCACTGCACTCCAGCCTGGGCGACAGTGAGACAGTCTCTAAACAAAAATTTAAAAATAAAATAAATTTATAAAAATAAAAAAATCAATGTAATCCATCGTACTCACAGACTAAATAAGAAAAACCACATGATCATACCAACTGATGCAGAAAAAACATCTGACAAAGTTCAACATCCATTCATGATAAAAACTCTCAAAAAACAGGGTAGAACAAGAGCAGAAGGCCATTTCCTTAATATTTTTTTTTTTTTTTTTGAGACAGAGTTTCACTCTTGTCACCCAGGCTAGAGTGCAGTGGCATGATCTCAGCTCACTACAACTTCTGCCTCCTGGGTTCAACCAATTCTCCTGCATCAGCCTCCTGAGTAGCTGGGATTACAGGTGCCTGCCACCACATCCGGCTAATTTTTTGTAATTTAGTAGTGACGGGGTTTCACCATGTTGGCCAGGCTGGTCTTGAACTCCTGACCTCAGGTGATCCACCTGCCTTGGCCTCCCAAAGTGCTGGGATTACAGGCCTGTATCACTGTGCCCGGCTTCCCTAATCTTATAAAGGGTATCCACAAAAACTCCACGGCTAGCATCAGACTGACTTCATGGGCAAAAAGAATGCTTCCCTTGAGGTAATGAAAAGACAATTTATAAACTCTTACCATTCCCAGTCCACATCTTATCTGGAGGCCTAGTCAATGAACTGTAACAAGAAAGAAGAAATCCAAGGCATATGGACCTGAAAGGAAATAATGAAACTGTCCTTATTTGCATATAACGTAATTCTCTGTGCAGAAAATCTTAAGGAAACTATTTAAAAAGCTCAGGCTGGGCGGGGTGCAGTGGCTCACACATGTAATTTCGCACTTTGGGAGGCTGAGGCAGGCGGATCACTAGAGCTCAGGAGTTCGAGACCAGCCTGGGCAACATGGTGAGACTCCCATCTCTACAAAAAAAAAAAAAAAAAAAAGCTGAGCAGGAGGGTGTGTGCCTGTGGTCTCAGCTACTCAGGAGGCTGAGGTGGGAGGATTGCTTAAACCCAGGAAGTTGAGGCTACAACCAGCTGTGATTACAGCACTGCACTCCAGTCTGGATGACAGACTATTAATATGATGGATTACATTGATTGATTTTTAAAATTTTTATAAATTTATTTTATTTTTTACTTTTTTTTTTTAGAGACAGAGTCTCACTCTCTTGCCCAGGCTGGGGTGCAGTGGCACCACTCACTGTGGCCTCAAACTCCGAGGCTCAAGACACTCTCCAAATTAATAAACAAAAAAGCTTATTGAAATAATGAGTTTAACAAGATCTTAGGACATAAAGCCAACAGACAAAAAAAATCAATCATATTTCTATATACTAGCAATCAAAAATAGATAAATGATAAAAATATTAACCCCATTTACAATAGCTCTCCAAAAATGAAATACTCAGGTATAAATCTAACAAAACTCGAGGATGATCTGTATGCTTTATCAAAATGCTGACTAAAGAAATCAAAGACCTAAAAACAGAGATATACTGTGTCTATGGATTGGAGGGCTCAAATATAACTATGCTATAAATTATCCCCAAATTGATGCAGAGGTTTAACACAATTCTAGTCAAAATTCCAGCATGACTTTTTGTAGATAGTAAAAATTAATGTGGAAAGGCAAAGGACCTAGACTAGAAAAAATGATTTTTCATTTTTTCTGCCCAGCCAGACCCTCCTCTGGGCTCTGCCAGCCCAGGGCTCTGTTCTATGACTCGGAGCACCCCTGCCTTATCCCAGTTCCCAACGTCCTGCTTTCTCCCACTGGCTGCAAACTCTTTAAGACAAGAGCTGTCAAAATTCTCACCTCTGTTCATTTTTGATCTCCCTACAACTACAGGCAACGCCCGGCACAGAGTTGGGGCTCAATAAGTGTTTGATGAACGAATACATGAACTTGCAACTGGAACAAGATCTGATTCTGGTAATAGTTAACAGTGGACTTGGGGCAAGTATTTCTGGGGGTGAAAAAAAGCTTGTTTGTGTGGTAAAGACCTCGGCCAGACCAGATGCTTGGTGATCCCGAGATCATTGCTTCACTCTCAGTACTCCAGACCTGGATGTCTCTTTAACCTTACAGTAATCGTGATAGAGTGAGAAGGCTTCTGTAGATGTAGTTATTAACTATCAATTAGGATTCAGGCTGGAGCCGTGGAGGGTTTGGAAAAATGTTTTCAGATTATTTTCCAAGAGTTTGATGAAACCCCAAGATATTTTTCCCAGACATATTTTCCCCTGAAGCTGGAAACCCGTGAGTATTTAAAGGAGAATTTAATCTTAGGGGTTACAGTTTGCTTTTGCTGCGCTCATCTGAATGGAATGGCATGCGATGCCCAAGAGGTCTGTGGCTCTGTATTTTACACGTGGAATTAGATGCTTGCATTTCAAGTGCATGCAACTGAATCTCACATTAATCCGCAAACCAGTACTTGAGTTTCAAGAGGGTATATAAACTTGGCAAATGTGCCTCTCAATTACTGGAATCAAGATAAGCCTGCTGGGTTGCAACAAGGCCCAGGCACAGGCCTCAGAGAACCCGGGACCTTTGGTCTTCAGAGAAGTGGAGGATGGGAGAGAGACATGACGCCAGCGTCTCTGGGCTTGCATGGAGACACAGAAGGAAAAAAGAGTCTCCCATTTAAAACGTAAAAACTGTCCATTGCAGAAAACTGGCAATACACAGACAAACAGATGAAGGGCAGACAATCCCACAAAGACAACCCTTGGAGGCCGAGCTCATGCCTGTAATCCCAGCACTTTGGGAAGCCGAAGCAGGCAGATCACTTGAGATCACGAGTTCGAGACCAGCCTGGCCAATATGGTGAAACCCCATCTCTACTAAAATTATAAAAATTAGGCGGGTGTGGTGGCGGGCGCCTGCAATCCCAGCTACTCAGGGGGCTGAGGCAGAAGAATCGCTTGAACCTGAAAAGCGGAGGTTGCAGTGAGCTGAGATCAGGCCATTGCACTCCAGCCTGGGAGAGACAGACTCTGCCTTAAACAAAATAAATAAATAATAAAATAAATAGATAAATAAAACAAAGACAACTTTTGGTGATATTTTAGACCAGGGCATTTCCTTCCAGTCTTTTTTTCCCCCTGCATTTTGGGAATTGCCGTTCAGGGCAGCTGAAATGAGAGGTGGGGCTTCGTGATTAATTCTGCCATGGACCCTCATGTTAAAGCCTGAGGGGCACCCAGAGACTTTGTTAAGTGTGAAGGCTTAGCGTCAGCTGTCAGCCAGGCACCTGATGACTCAATGAGTAGCTGGAAAGGAAAGGCCTTTATCTAGTTCAGAACTGCAAGAACCTGCTGTTTTGAGAATAGTTTATTAGTGAAGATAGCATTATCTGGATATATATCTGTGAGCTTAAATCCCCTCTAGTCCATTTCAATACAGAGCAACTTGAAGCACATCAGAAAGTTTGCATTAATCCTGCAGCATTTAAAACGTGACAGAAGCTCCCTGACTCTCAGGGGGCCTGTGGGAGCGGAATTGGGAGCACTGTGCAATCGTGGCCACTCCTGCTAACAGGCGCCTGCCTGGGACCCCGCAGCTCCACTCAGGAGGATGTACCCAAGAGAAAGAGGACACAAGCCCTCCACAAGGCACACTGAGAACGCTCTTAACAGCCCTAACTGCAAACAACAGATGCCATCAGCAGTGGAGTAGACAAGTACATGGTGGCATGTCCATAAAATGCAACATTACTCTGAAGTGAGAAAGCAAAACTAACTCCTGGCACCCGCCACTGCTGGAGGGATTTCAGAGAAGCAGCGCAGAGAGAAGGACACGGAGGGCAGGACACATGGTACCGTGCGAAGCCACGGAGAGGAAGTGCGGAAGTCACAGTGATCCACGCCGTGGTTCTCAGCCAGGGTGACTGTGTCCCCAGCGTGTATTTGGCAATGTCTGGAGACATGTTTGGTTGTCACAATGGAGGGGGTGGGTGCGTCTAGTATCTAGTAGCTCGGGGCCAGGGACACAGGAAACATCCTACAGTGCACACGACAGCCACCACCTCATAGAATTATTGGCCCCAAATGTCAATCAACAGGCCGGGGCTGAGAAGCTGATGTATGACAGCAGGGGTCAGGTTAGCATCAGGGACGGGGAGAGTGGGAGGGAGTGAGCTCGGGGCCTCTGGGGTGTGGAAATGCTCTATACGCTTACACACGTCTAAATGTGTAAAAAGCCACTGAGGTGTACACGTGTGATTTGTGCACTTTGCCCCCCCCCCACACACACACACACACACTCTCACACCCCAGATCCAGAGCATTCCCCAGCAAAGCCGTGGCTCATGGTTTTGTGTTCCATCACCTCCCGCGCCCCTCTCATTTAAATAGGACAGAACATCTGAGTCAATGCATCCCTTTTACTAAGTGAAATGAAAGGGTTTGGCTCGCGGGGATTCCAAGGCAAATCTGAACCATATGAACATGCAGACTCATGGTAGACACTTGGCTCTTTCACAACTTCCTGCAACCCGCCGCCGTCGCGGTGAGCGAGCACACGCAGGCAGCAGCATTGACGGGCGCCCGAGGCTTTATGGGCTCTGGCATCACTGCTGTCGAGAGCTCATCATTTCCGTGAAAAAGGTGCCGGGCCCAGCCCGTCCCTGTTGCTCCATCAGCCGCAAACCTGCCTCAGGATGTCAACAACTGGGCAGCGTCCAGAGACCCAGGGGCTCATCTGCTCAGTGGGCCAGTGGGTCAGTCTCGAGGAGCTGACCGTGGTTTGTGCTTGCGTTCCAAGCACGACCTGATTCAGTCTAGTCCAGGGCAAAACCAGGCTGGAGAGTAACGCCCTGGCCAGACACTGCAGAAGATGTTTTGCTGTGGCTGCCACTCCTTGGAGAAAAAGCAAATTTGGAAGCTTTGACCCAAGAGGTGGAATGGCTGCTTATTTATTCTCATTTTCTTTTTCTTTCTTTCTTTTTTTTTTTTTGAGATGGAGTCCTGCTCTGTTGCCCAGGCTGGAGTGCAGTGGCGCAATCTTAGCTCACTGCAACCTCAGCCTCCCAGGTTCAAGAGATTTTCCTGCCTCAGCCTCCAGAGTAGCTGGGATTACAGGCGTGCGCCACCACTCCTGGCTAACTTTTGTATTTTTCATAGAGACGGGGTTTCACCACGTTGGCCAGGCTGGTCTCGAACTCCTGACCTCAGGTGATCTGCCCACCTCGGCCTCCCAAAGTGCTGGGATTACAGGTGTAATGAGGCCCGGCCTTATTCTCATTTTCTTTCAGTGAATTTTCTTTTCTGGTTGACTCATATTATTTACTGTCACCATGAGAATTAACAAGACCAGAATGCTGAAACAGATTTGGCTTAAGGAGGAAAAGACTCCGAAGTCAAAGTCAAGGTGGGTTTTCTGTGTAACCTTCAGGCACGGAAGGCCTGAGCCATACAGCCTGTGAACGGCAAACGGGCTTTCAAGCCGCAGAGAAGACACCTTCACGTTTCCAAAATTCATTTCTAAAATGCAAACCATATCTCAACACCGAAACCTTCAGAATTCCAGGATAAACTTTGCTTTAAATGTAAATTGCAGAAAAGAAATAGAGACCCACTCCCAGCAGAGATAAGAGGGCTAGAGTGAGGACGCTGATTTCAGGGGCTGGTAATGACCAAGAACAGCGTAGCATCGTGGCCCAGCATCGCCACAGGGCTGTCTCCCTGGGAAGACGAGGCCAGAACGAAGCCACCCTCACCTCCTCCACCTCCCTGCTCGTTCTTTCTCACTCTCCCCTCTCTTCTCGGTTGCTTCTCCCCTCTACATTTTCCTTTTATTACTGTTTTTAATTTTTTTTTTTTTTTTTAGTAGAGACAAAGTCTCTTTATGTCACCCAGGCTGGTGTCAAACTCCTGAGCTCAAATGATCCTCCTGCCTTGGGCTTCCAGAGTGCTGGGATTACAGGCGCGAGTCGCCTGCCTAGCTCACATTTTCCTTCTCCTGACCTTCTCTTCCATTTCCTTTACCTGCTTAGCCTCACCCTTTCCATCCCCTAACTGGCCTCAATACGGAGTCAGAGCATACTTTCAGTTGTTTGCTGTATTTACCAAATGAAGTGTGTGTTTTCTTCTCCGTTACAAATGTGGGAGGGTTGAAGCTTTATCGTTCTATTCCTTTGCAAACAAATCTTAGGTTGCTCCAAATCTGAGGTTGGATGCCGGCTTTGAATGGTTCTTCTTGTGCACTAGTGACTGTGAGTTTTTTTAAAAGTCCCATTGAAGATGGAAAGGAGGGGACTTCCAGGAAAGCAGAGGGAATGCGCATGCAGCCAGCTCTGGAGGACGTGTCTGAGTAAAAGGAAGACAGCGGAGGGAAAGGCTTCCTAGCTCCTCTGGGTTAACTGGTTCTGGAACAGTCTTTGCCCGGTTGCTCAATACCCTCGTGCTATTTTTCAGTGGGAACTTAGGAGTGAACGTCTCTCTACCCTGGTGGTCCCTGACCAGACACAACACACTATCTCAATGCTGAACTAGCACTGTCTGGCTTGATCAGAGTACCCAGAACAGCCAGGAGGGCTGGGATTCTAACAAGGGATGGGGCAGGTGGGGGCACAGGTCCAGGCAGGCGCATGACCAAGGTCCTGAAGGCTGGCTGCCCAGAATCGAGGCCCCAGCCCCAGGCCCTCCTGGGTGCTCCCTAAGGCCTGCTCTGCCAGGGCTCCCTGGTGTGCTTCCTGCCCAGGAGGGCACGACCAGCGGGCAACTGTGGTCATCACTCATGTGCACCTGTGGGCCCACCACTGAGGGTCCCTGCTCAGACCTCACTGGGCATGGTGTCGCATCTGCCGAAGTGGACACTGTGATGTCAGGCAGGTGGTGCATTCACTGGGCACAGACTGCAGCCCCTCCTCCCCCAGGCATGGCGGGGGCCCTCTGAGGACCGCCAGGGCCACCGCGACTGAGCATCAGCTGTGCTAATGGATCACACCTGCTACCTTGCTTACTCCTATCCCTGGGCCTGGGTGGCAGTGCCACTCCCAGCTGCTACCCAGAGGAGGCACCGGGCCACCTGTCCAAGGTCACATGGCTGGCTCACAGCAGGTGAGGTTGGAATGCAGGCACCCCACTGTATAATCATTGTGCTACTTTGCTCTATTTTTCTTTTTTTTCTTTTTGCTTTAATGCTACAAGCACTGAGGCATTCATACACATCTTTTTCCTTCTGTTTCTCTGCAATATCCACTGGGCTCTGTCTGCCATTCTAGTTTACTCCTAAGCACCCGTGATGACCTCGTCAAGCAGAGTGGGCTGCAGGGAGCAGAAACCGGGTATGAAAGGGTGTGAACACCTGCCCAGAGCACAGAGGAGGGGCCCCAAGCACAGGTGCTGGGCAGGTGCCAAGTCCCTAACTGCACAATGTAGACAGAAACTATGCATGGGCTTGGCAGAGGACCAAATGCCTGGCAAGAGCTCAGAAGCAGGCCTGGCCTGCAGAAAGCCCTGTGTGTTCGCTGTTAATGTCTCTCAAATGAAAGGTGCCAAACCTTGAGCCAGAGGGGGAAGTGTCCTGGAGAGGGGATGGAGGCAGGAAACCTGGAGGGAGGTGCTGGTGGGGGAAGCACGCAGGAACACCCTAAGGGTGGTCACCGAGGGTGCTGCTGTGGGCTGCTGGCCCCTGTGGCTCAACATCTATATGCATGGACACACTCCAGGTCTGAGACCCCAGTCTTGGCAGCAGGCCCAGCTGCATCCTTCTTTCGGTCACAGCAGAGGGTCCCACTGAAGACTGCACTCCGGCGCTGTGCGGTGTGTCCTCCCAGTGTGGCAGGGAGCGTTTGAAACCACAGGAAACAGGGATATCTTCCTAGAGAGTGAACTTGACTCATTGCAAAGCTAATCTACTTTTTCAAAAATATGACAATTCTTTATTTTTTTAGACCAAGTGTCACTCTGTCGCCCAGGCTGGAGTGTAATGGTACAATCTCAGCTCACTGCAACCTCCGCCTCCTGGGTTCAAGTGATTTTCCGGCCTCGGTCTCCCGAGTAGCTGGGACTACAGGTGCACGCCACCACGCCTTGCTAATTTTTGTACTTTTAGTAGAGATGGGGTTTCACCATGTTGGCCAGGCTGGACTCCAACTCCTGAGTTCAGGCAGTCGGCCTGCCTCGGCCACCCAAAGTGTGGGGATTACAGGCGTGAGCCATCGCACGGCCAAAACTATGACACATTTTATGTCACTGTATTAGCCCTAAGGGGGCACTGCTCACCTTCCAGGATGCCAAGGGTGCATATTTCAATGGAAAATTGAGGTGCTGACTTCTCTCTGCAGAGCCCAGGAGTAAATTATGTGTGATAAAATAAGACTAGAATGTCAGGGTCTCTTGCCAGCCCCACGGGTATCAGAAGCTCTACTTTAAGCAGCAATAAATAAGCGGTTACCTGTGCAGACAGAGATAGACAGGTCGGCGGTGCTGAGTCCTGGACCCGTGCCTTCTGATGGAAACAGGAGGAATGAGGCGGAGACGGGGTCCTCAGATCTGGAAGTCAATCGGCACCTGACAGGGGCAGCTTTCAGTCTTTTAAAGCAGAGGAAGAATTTTTTTGTTAAATCAAATAGAGAAGACCAACATACTCAGAAAATAGGCAAAAATAATTGCTTTCTTTGAAGGACACGTGGGAAGTCTGAGGTCAGGTTTATTAGACCCAATCCAAGAAACCCAAGGCTATACCTTGAAAACCAGGGCATGTGGCCTGATCCCATAAACCATAACACGCTCCAGAAGGGTTAAGATGTTAAAAAACAAAACCAAATAATAGGGGAAAAAGAAAAAAAGAAAAAGACAGAGTTAGATTTTGTCTAGTTCTCAAATGTGCCAACAACACCAGCACCCCTCAGAAAGTTCCTATCGGGGGCCTTTTCAAATACACAAACACAACTGAGCAGCGTATTGGCTTGAAACAGGCAGCATAAATGAAGCTACCCTAATGTTTTCGTTATTAGGAAACCAAACAATAACCACTTTCCCCCAAAACACAGCAAGGACTTAAATGGGAGTCTATGAGAAAACGAAAGTGATAAGTTTTTTCCTGCACCTCTAATCCCAACTACTGGGAGCTGAGGTGCCAGTGACCAAGATCAGACACCACCCGCACTCCAGCCTGGGTTCATAGAGTGAG